TATGATTATGTACATCAAATGGTATTGCTAATAAACATGTAACATATCTGGATGTGTTCCAGGGTACTATGGATTGCTTTAAACTATGAATGAAAAAAATGGAAAATTGAAAACTTACATGTAGGAGCAAAACCTTGTCTACGAATACCTTGAATAACTAAGTACATTTTGTACTATTGTGGAAACTTAGCACTTACAATCAGTATTCACTTAGTGTACTGTTCCTCAGTTGAGGTGAATTTTAACATTTTGCACAAAATTGGCAATCATAAACCCAGTTTCTTACACAAAGAATCGATACTTGTATACAAAATTATCAGTTTTCAGTGGAAAGGATATTGCATCTTCATAGAAGATAGAAAATCAGGTATGTTGAAATTCAGTTCACTATTTCTTTGACCAGCACAAACTTTGTAAAAGTGCAATGTATGAAAGTCACTGTGGATGTGAGGTACAATGTAGTTAATGCTTTTAACGTTTGTGATCATTACTTTACAACTTACCGAAAACCTAAGACTGGATTTGTATTGGTTTAGAATGATTTTGTACTTCTGGGTTTCTTCTTTTTTTGTGTGTTGAAATTTTTATCAACTTACTTCACAGTTACCATTGAATGATTCTTTCACTGCTTTATGTCATTTGAATACCAACAACTTCTCAAAGACTCAAACAGATAGGATTGTATCAGGTTTGATGTTGCTATTTTTTACACCTGCAATTTGCTACAGTAAGTATGTAACACTGTCCTAACTCTGTTGTAACAACTACGGAACAATTGTAGCAAAATTCAGATCACTGCTAACTACTGTTACTTAACCTGACAGAGTCTAATGTAGCGAACATTGTCTCAAGTATCTACATGTAACAAACATTTCCAGACTGTGTAGCAATCATTGGTAGACATTTACAGTAAGACACTTCTACACTGCCACAGTCTGACAACATTGCAACATTTTTTTTCAATACTATTTACAACAGCAACATAGAGGCATAGAATCTCATTCAACAGAGAACAAGTGATATGACAAACAAGGATACCTGCACTTTGACACAAATGTAGCAAACTCTGCTGCAACACAGTGGCGAACTGTGTATGGGTGTATCCAGTTTCAAGACAGGTTAGGTAAGGTTAGTCTCTGTTCATAAAAAAGGTCTTGATATTTTGTTGGGATGTTGAAAGACTGCAAAAAGATGTTACATGTTTCATGTGGCATGAACATTTTTTTTCTGGGATGCAGACTTTTCTAATTTAAGTACTGTGCAATTTTTTTGACATCATACTCAGTCTATTAGACATATCCGTGATATTTGTACAGATTCTGAAGAAATGTCTCGGTTAACGATGACCCTGGACTTTCTGTAAGGCAGACAAATAGAAAACGTCCTATTCACAAGGCCATCACAGAAAACCATCACTAGTGCCAACTTCTACAATTTACAAAGCAGTATATGGCTTTTCATACAAAAACAACTTGGCTGAACTGAAGCATATACTTTTTTAGACACCATCATTGCAAAAGTCTTAGCTCCATTCTAATACACCGACTCGGACTTCAATGCTACAAAACAGTCTCTGACCTGTCAGAAACCCATCGAAATTGTACAACAACATTGACCTTGAACTTTGCCCTTTGAACTTTACAAGGTGACAGCAGCAAACAAGTCTAGACTGTGACCTGACAGAACATTTTCATCAATACCATATGACACAATTGAAAAGACCACCAAAAATGCACATTTGGCATCAGAATCTCCAACTGTATGTAACATACACTACCAAAAATGCTTTTTCTTGTTTTTCTTATTTTCTCATGGGAAGAAAATTTTTCTTTGGGGGAGAATAATAAGAAAAAATAAGAAAAATTAATTTTCTGTATACCTACATTCTTGCACCAAGAACAATTTTCTCATTTTTTCTTGAGTGGAGATAATTTTCTAAAATAGGCTTCTTTAAATCTTGATTTTCTTTGGTGAAGAAATATTTCTAGAGGAGATTCTAACTTACAAGATTAGAATTCTTTTAATCTTGAAATTTCTTTAGTAAAGACAATATTTCTAGGGATGATTCTAAGTTACAAGATTAAAATTCTTTTAATCTAAGGACAAGAATTTTAATTATTTTTTAATCTTAAAATTCCCTCAGACTTAGTTAAATTTTCTTATTTAATCTCCATGGAAGATTTCTTTCTTACCTGACATCAAAGTGATCAGATTTAAGTTTTTTTTCTTAGTGTATGTCAAAAAACTTTCTTGTTCATGTTACCTAGAACAACTGAAAAAGGCCATTCTTGTTTTTCTTTGCAATGTTTAAGAAAATACAAGAATTGGTTTTGCCTTTCTTGGCAAACACTGATTGGAAAAGCAAAGAAATTTAATTATCTAAATCTATTATTAGAATAAAGCTCTGCTTAGTGTTTCTTTCTTAAAGTTTCTTGTTTTTCTTGACTAGAAAGCTTAAGAAAGATCATTACTTGTTTTTCTTGGCAACATTTAAGAAAATACAAGAATTAAGTTCTTATCT